CCTGTTTAATCAGCACTGAGACGAATCTCTACCAAGGATTCCAATGGCAATTCAGAGCGCGTGGGTTTCGATGATGAATTTGGGCACACAAACATTCCCGATTCCCAGCCAATTGACTCCATTTCTGGTAGCGCAGAGCTAGACCTCAACTCTTTACAGAACAACGGATCTTACAATAATTTTTTTAACTGAAGCAAATCCACGAACAGAATGGGAGCGCGTGTGTGTACGTATGGTTGCGATCCAGATGCCACCATTAAAGAGCACTGAGAAAGGCAAGCACTCGCTTAGGCTGTGTAATTCGCATCAACTTGCTAATTCCCCACAAAAAAAGGTTTGAACACTGATTTGCAAAAGGAAATGAATCAGTAAACAAGAAGAAAACGCTGAAACGACAGAAAGCCCCAAGGAGTTCAATCCACTTCAAATCATCAAACCAAATTTTAAGGCAATTCGCGTGGCTGGAAACAGAAGAACATTCATTCAACATGAAGAAAATACGTGTCCAGTTTAGAAAATAAAGTAAAGGTAAGCAAGAGAATGCCACAGTGGCCTGGCGAAAGCACCAAACGCTCACAAAAGAGGTGGATCTCGACTAGAACATACCACATTGGACCGCCTCCCTCCATCCCCCTTTCCTCTATCTACTCTACTTGCAAAAGGCGCACAAAATAGCGCATGCAAACATGGCAACACCTGAAAGAGGATACACGTCACAAATGTAAAAAGTGTGGTGTGAAATTACCTATGACTGCACCCGAATCACCTCTCACGAATCGGTTTTAAAGCAAAACGGACGGATGAAATAGACGATATAACTTTTCACACATGAAAGCAAAGTCGTTTCGTGAATTTCAACTGCCGCTCTAGCAGAAAAGATTGTGGGCATAGTTTTCCACACTGTTTTAACATTACTTAATGGAAATGCCAAAATTCCCCTACGCACACATGTGCATGACCAACACCCTCCGTCGGCCTATCCGCAGTGGCTGAAGAGCGCTCACCAAACGGGCTTTAATTTTCCTGGTGAAAACGTCGTCACATTGGCCGGAACAAAACATCCACATACATGGTTTATTAACTCCACTGAAAATTAATTGGCTCATTCCACAGAAAACACTCGTCCTGGAACCGAATATCTCGCATCCCTGAGCAAAGCTCAAAATCCAAGAGTTGGAATTTCGGAAATGCAACAGTTCAAAGTCAACTTTCTACAAGCCAAATAAGTGAACTTTTATAGGCAAGTCTTCCGACATGGTGCATCATTTGCCTAAATTAGACTGCGGAATCGTGTTGCGCCTAACACTTAGTAACCAAGACATAATAGACGCTCATTCGGAGCAAGTTATAACGCTTTTAATGGCACTTTCCAGTTCAGTGCTTGTTTTACCAAGACTTCCAACACAAATCGCCAGTCACTGAGTAACAGCAAAGTTAATTCTTTTTTGACGTGGCAGAGATGATGATTAACTTGCGTTCCACCACACCAACATTTTCAGTCCCCTGCACGGCATAAAGCAGAACCCTTTGGCCACATCACCCCAATTGTCATGGTGGTAGAAGCCCTCGTTGCTAATCAAGTTCATTTCATCGTTATTTCTGCGACTGCATGACATCACATCATTTCGGGTGTTGGGATATCCAGTGCCGCAGTTGACGACTGGAATTTTTCATTGTGTTGACCATCCAACCCATTTATTTTAGA